CCACGCTCTGCCTCAAAGAGCTCCAGCGAGAGACGCTCTCCGTGGACGCCAGCCTTCAGGGACACGCAACGCTAGTGCCTTCTGCACGCCTGATGCCACGGGCGAGAGCCAGGACAGAAACCACCACCCTCCCCTCCCTCCCATCTCCCCACACCGCTAAGAGGTGTCCACAGCATCCCCCGAGCCCAGCTGAGACTAGGGGGAACAAACTCCTTGGAGAGGACCACGAAGCACCGGGAGAACCACCACACCTCTCCCAGGGCTCTGTCCCGCCGGCGCAGCAGCCTTTGGGACAGCCACGCCGCGCCACCCCTTACCCAGGACGGTGAAGCATCGAAGGACCTCAGTGTGATTTTTAACAGTCAGGGGGACAGACGGATCCGCAGGAGCACAGATCTGTTGAAGACAAAGCTGTGGTCAGGGGAACGGGCGCCGGGGCAGGCTGCAGGCCCGGCCCTGGAGAGGCAGAGCGGTGCTCGGCACAGGCGCGGCACCAAGATTCGGGACAGACACAGCCCTGGGCTGGTGGGTGACGGCATCCCAAGGCACGGATGCCCAGAGCGGGGCTCTGCCTGCACCCACAGCGGGTTGAGTCCTCTCCGGGAGAGCGCTTGGGAACAAGGCGCCTGCTCAGGAGCTGTTTAAACGTGTCCCACCACCCAGCCGGGACCGCCGGCCGCCTCCTCTGGAACCTCTTCAAAATGAGTCAACCCTTCCGGGTGCTATTAAAATAATTCAGGCTCTTCGTTCAATTTACATTGCAGCAAGGACAACGCGCATCTGCTTACTCCGCTCTGCCAAAAAAGACACTTGGGTCTGCAGCGGAGCCAGAGCTGCTGTGTGGGGGAGCCCCGTCCCGCAGCCCCAGAGCTGCCCCTCTGCAGCCACCAGCAGCGTTTGCCCGTCGAAGCCCATCACCGAGAAGCAGTTCCCACAAATGCCCCCGTTATTGTATCCGGTTGTTATGCATCACTTTGGAAAAGCGAGTATTTTAAAGCACAGCCTCTTTCTGCCGGACACTTCCAAGACTCACAGTCCATTAAGTATTAAAAAAAAAGAAAGCGTTCAGCCCTGTGATCAGCGCGATTTGCAGAGTGTAGTAATACAACGGACCTCACCCCGGCGGCT